GCCTACTTCCTCTGTGCACACCCGCACCACTACTACTGGCCGTGGTGGTAGGCTGCAGTGGAGCTGGTGCTCTACTACGTGGACCGTTTGCCTCCACTGACACTGCTGCGACCCTGCTGCCTCCTGGCAGCAGCAATGGGGAGGAGGAGGCGGTTACAGGGGCCCATGGCAGATTAGGGGCCTGGCAGCAGCAATGGGAGGGCCCGTAATCTGCCAGCACCCTATGACAAAAAATGGAACACACCAGCAGTGTGAGGAGACCTGAAAGTGGCACATGGCATGACACACTGTGGACCTGGCAGCAGCATGAGGAGGCGGTACAGGGGCCCATGGCAGATTAGGGGCCTGGCAGCAGCAATGGGAGGCCCGTAATCTGCCAGCACCCTATGACAAAAAATGGAACACACCAGCAGTGTGAGGAGACCTGAAAGTGGCACATGGCAGAGTGTGGCGATGGAGACAGCAGCAATGGGAGGCCGTACAGGGACCCATGAGACACTCTGGACCTGGCAGCAGCATGAAGAGGCGGTACAGGGGCCCCTTGGCAGATTAGGGGCCTGGCAGCAGCTATGGGAGGCCCGTAATCTGCCAGCACTCTATGACAAAATGGAACACACCAGCAGTGTGAGGAGACCTGAAAGTGGCACATGGCAATGACACACTGTGGACCTGGCAGCAGCATGAGGAGGCGGTACAAGGGGCCCATGGCAGATTAGGGGCCTGGCAGCAGCTATGGGAGGCCCGTAATCTGCCAGCACCCTATGACAAAAAATGGAACACACCAGCAGTGTGTGAGGAGACCTGAAAGTGGCACATGGCAGAGTGTGGCGATGGAGACAGCAGCAATGGGAGGCCGTACAGGGACCATGAGACACTGTGGACCTGGCAGCAGCATGAGGAGTCGGTACAGGGGCCCATGGCAGATTAGGGGCCTGGCAGCAGCAATGGGAGGCCCGTAATCTGCCAGCACCCTATGACAAAAAATGGAACACACCAGCAGTGTGAGGAGACCTGAAAGTGGCACATGGCATGACACACTGTGGACCTGGCAGCAGCATGAGGAGGCGGTACAGGGGCCCATGGCAGATTAGGGGCCTGGCAGCAGCTATGGGAGGCCCGTAATCTGCCAGCACCCTATGACAAAAAAAATGGGAACACACTAGCAGTGTGTGAGGAGACCTTAAAGTGGCACATGTTTGGGGCATGATTCTTGGCGGATTTAGTCAGTTGTGTCAGGAACTGGTGGTTTGAAATCCAGACTAATCCACGCCTGATTCATTTTCACAAACGTGAGTCTCTCTACACTTTGGGTGGACAGTCGTGTCCTTTGCGGAGTTACAATACCTCCTGCCGCACTAAACACGCGCTCCGATGCCACGCTACTGGCCGGGCATGACAGCCTTTCAAGGGCAAATTCAGCTAGTTTGGGGCCAAAGGTCAAGTTTTCGTTGCCCAGTAGTCAAGGGGATTGTCTACCTCGGTTGGCAGGGTGCTGTCCAAGTAGGCCCAAGCCTGTTGTTTGAGGTCCTGCTCCAGGTCCACCTGATGCTGCTGCTGCTGCGGCTGGTTAGTAGTTTCCTCACTGCGCTGGTGAAGAAAGCTACTCATCATCGACTGCAGACTGAGGCAGCCGCTGCTGGTGGAGCTGCCACTGCTCCTACCACCCCACCCCTCCCCTGCTGCCATGGCAGCGGAACGCGAGCGCACAGGGCCCACAGTGTCTGAGGATGGACGTTGGCGCAGAAAGGCAGAGACCAACTGACTACATAGGTGGTTTTTATAGTACGTTATTTTGGCCTCCCTCTCAGCAGGTGTGAAAAAGGCCACCATTTTTGAACGGTAGCGAGGGTCCAACAAGGTGGACAGCCAAAAGTCATCCCTCTGTCTGATGGTTATTATTCGGCTGTCGCTACGCAAGCAACCGAGCATGCTATGGGCCATTTGTGCCAAGGAATGCGAGGGACTCCCTGCCTCCATCTCCACAGCATACTGCCACGGTGCGTCTGGGTCCTCTGTCTCCTCCTCCTCCTCCTCCTCTACCAGATGCTCCTGCTCCTCCACTCCTGTCCGCTGAGTGGAAAAACCACCCATTTCACTCAATAATTCCTGAGCACAAATGTCCTCCTCTACCTCCTCCTCTTCTTCCTGTCCTGCCCCCCCACAGGGGTCATGTGGCGTTGAGATCTGTGCGCCACGTCTACCGCACCCTGACCAGCCATTGTTAACAGCATTTGTTCCAGGACGTGCAACAGAGGAATGACGTCGTTCATCCCATAGTCCTGCCGACTCACGAATAGCGTGGCCTCCTCAAAGGGCCTGAGCAAGCGGCAGGTGTCACGCATGAGCTGCCAATGGCTGACATCGAAGTTACACAGGGGAGTACCTTTATCCGCTTGTAACATCAGGAAATCGGTGATGGCCTTTCGCTGTTCGTAAAGGCGGTCTAACATGTGTAGGGTTGAATTCCACCTTGTTGCAACGTCGCAGATCAGGCGATGCTGTGGAATTCCGTTCTGCCGCTGCAGCTCAAGGAGGGTGTGCTTTGCGGTGTAGGAATGGCTGAAATGCATGCAAAGTTTACGTGACATTTTAAGGATGTCTTGCAGTGGGATGGTGGATTTTAGGAACCGCTTGACAACCAGATTGAACACGTGAGCCATGCATGGCGCATGGCACAACCTTCCTTGACGCAGAGCAGACACCATGTTCTTTCCGTTGTCGGTCAACATGGTTCCGATTTTCAGTTTGCGCGGAGACAGCCATCTGTCGATTTCTCTGTTCATTACACTCAGAAGTTCCTCCCCTGTGTGACTACGTTCGCCAAGGCATACCAGGTGCAGCACAGCGTGACACCGTTGCGCCCTGCACATGTGATATGCCGGTCGGGTAATGGGACTTGGCACGGGGGTGGCGGCTGAGGACACGGCGGAAGAAGAGGTGGTAGAGGCGGACATCTTTTGTGGACCAAGGACGTGCAAACGTGGAGGCAAAAGCGGCGTGACCTGTCCAAGTTGCTGGTGCGGCTGTGCCGGCACCACGTTCACCCAGTGGGCCGTAAATGACATGTACTGTCCCTGACCGTAGTTACAGCTCCACACGTCGGCGCTGCCGTGCACTTTGGCAGAGACCGACATGCTCAAAGACTGGCCCACCATCTCTTCTACATGTGAATGCAGGGCTGGCACTGCCTTTTTGGCGAAGAAATGCGGCTTGGCACTCTCCCACCGCGGCGCGGCACAAGCCATCATTTCTCGGAAAGGTGCTGAGTCCACCACTTGGAAAGGGAGGGACTGCAGCACCAGCAACTTGGACAGGAGGACGTTCAGCTTTTGCACCGTCGGGTGCGTGCTCGCAAACTGTTGTCTCTTGGAAACGGATTCCAAGAAAGACTGCAGACGGAATCCGTGAAGAGGAGTAGCAGGAGAAGGAGCATCTGAACGAGCGGAAGATGCCAACGAGCGACAACTCCCCTCAGCAGAGGTGTTGGAGCCTTGACTGGCTGATAGAGGGCGATTGACGTCGGGTGACGGAGCAAGTAACGGAGCGGGTGATGGAGCGGGGGCTGGGGCAGGCAGAACCGCCGTATCTTTATCACGGTTTTCCCAGGCCACCAAATGGCGACGCTGCATATGCTGCCGCAACGCTGTAGTCCCAACATGGGCCCCCTGGCCACGCTTGACTTTCTGGCCACATAGTCGACATACGGCTACGTTTACTTCCTCGGGCGGCTTGACGAAAAATTGCCACACCGCCGAGTAGGAAACTTTGCCCCCGATACTCCTCACTGGCTGACTGCTACTTCCTCCGTGCACACCGGCACCACTACTGGCCGTGGTGGTAGGCTGCAGTGGAGCTGGTGCTCTACTCCGTGGCCGTTTGCCTCCACTGACACTGCTGCGACCCTGCTGCCTCCTGGGCAACCCACCGACTGTTTTGCTCGCTGCCAAGCTGCCACCCTCTTCTCCTGATGATGCCGAAGCAATAGCCTGATGATGACGAGGCTGCCAAGTGCGATCAGCCTCATCATCATCAATTAGGGTCTCCGCCTCACTACTAGCCCCCTCGGCTGCGTGTGGGTCAGGAGACAGACCTGTCTCTATACCGGCTACCGAGCCACTCTCCTCGCCACTACTTCTTCGCCTGGCTGCTGAAGAGGCGGATGTCTCCCCCCGTTCCTGACCGCCCTCTGTTAGCTCTTCCTCACTGTACAGTGGGGCTGAGCCCACAGCATGCGATACTTCGCTTGGTGAGGGAACACCAAAGGACAGGGGCAGGTCGAGGACACGTGATTTCAGTGGGCTTGCTCCGGGGCCATGCCAACTAACGGTTGTGTCTGACGTACCCACCGACCGTTGGCTGTAGGTGTCAGAGGTGACCTGGGAAGAGGAAGACGACCGAGCCAACCAATCGATGACGGCAGGGTTGTCGGTGGAGACACGACCGCTGGATGACACCGGGAGCAATGGCCTTTGGCTGCGACTAGTGCTGCCTCGACCCCTTCCTCTGCTGCCACGTCTGCTCGCTCCTAAAATATTGCCTCCTCTGCCACTCCTCTGCATGTTGTCTGACATACTCTTTAATTCAACGATTATGTGTCCCTGAGTAACAATTCTGTGTCCCTCAGTAACAATTCTGTGTCTGTCCCTCAGTAACAATTCTGTGTCCCTCAGTAACAATTCTGTGTCCCTGAGTAACAATTCTGTGTCTGTCCCTGAGTAAACAATTCTGTGTCTGTCCCTGAGTAACAATTCTGTGTCTGTCCCTGAGTAACAATTCTGTGTCCCTCAGTAACAATTCTGTGTCCCTCAGTAACAATTCTGTGTCCCTCAGTAACAATTCTGTGTCCCTCAGTAACAATTCTGTGTCTGTCCCTGAGTAACAATTCTGTGTCCCTCAGTAACAATTCTGTGTCCCTGAGTAACAATTCTGTGTCCCCTGAGTAACAATTCTGTGTCCCTCAGTAAGAATTCTGTGTCTGTCCCTGAGTAAGAATTCTGTGTCCCTCAGTAAGAATTCTGTGTCCCTCAGTAAGAATTCTGTGTCCCTCAGTAAGAATTCTGTGTCCTCAGTAAGAATTCTGTGTCCCTCAGTAAGAATTCTGTGTCCTCAGTAAGAATTCTGTGTCCCTCAGTAAGAATTCTGTGTCCCTCAGTAAGAATTCTGTGTCCCTCAGTAAGAATTCTGTGTCCCTGAGTAACAATTCTGTGTCTGTCCCTCAGTAACAATTCTGTGTCCCTCAGTAACAATTCTGTGTCTGTCCCTCAGTAACAATTCTGTGTCCCTCAGTAACAATTCTGTGTCCCTCAGTAAACAATTCTGTGTCCCTCAGAATTAACAATTCTGTGTCCCTCAGTAAACAATTCTGTGTCCCTCAGTAACAATTCTGTGTCTGTCCCTCAGTAACAATTCTGTTTCTGTCCCTGAGTAACGTTTCTGTGTCTGTCCCTGAGTAAACGTTTCTGTGGCCCTAAGTAACGTTTCTGTGGCCCTAAGTAACGTTTCTGTGGCCCTAAGTAACGATTCTGTGGCCCTAAGTAACGTTTCTGTGGCCCTAAATACGATTCTGTGGCCCTAAGTAACGATTCTGTGTCCCTAAGTAACGTTTCTGTGTCCCTAAGTAACGTTTCTGTGTCCCTAAGTAACGTTTCTCTGGCCCTAAGTAACGTTTCTCTGGCCCTAAGTAACGTTTCTCTGGCCCTAAGTAACGTTTCTCTGGCCCTAACTCTCTCCCTCAATACAGACAGCTCTGCCTCTCTTGAATGACTGGAGGCAAATGGAGAATTCTAAAATGGCCGCCATTTATAGCTCGACCATTACACAGTGCTGGCTGGCTGGCTGCTGATTGGCTAATGCGATCACATGTCATGAATGAATGCATTATGGGTCAGCGCGCCTTGTCTGAGCGCCTTCCCAGACATCCCCGCTCCGTCGCCGCACATGTCGCCGCCATTTTAGGAAAAATTTTGATTCGCGCATCCGAAGTATGCTAATTTTCGGATTCGTCGCGAATCGAAATTTTCTAATATTCGAAACGAATTCCACTTCGCCTAGTTCGATTCGCTCATCTCTAGATCTCATCTTGAGAGTTGACAGCAACAGATTCCAAATGCAAATAGCACACTTGAAATTAACTCTGGACCTTTTATCTGCTCATTGTAATTGGGATAATGAGGGAATAAAACCCACCTGGCCATGGAACAGATGAGAAGCCAATTGTCCCATTACTTTTGGTCCCTTAACAAGTGGGAGGCTCATATGCAAACTGTTGTAATTCCTACACCGTTCACCTGATTTGGATATAAATACCCTCAAATTAAAGCTGACAGTCTGCAGTTAAAGCACATCTTGTGTGTTTCATTTCAAATCCATTGTGGTGGTGTATAGAGCCAAAAATGTTAGAATTGTGTCAATGTCGCAATATTTATGGACCTGACTGTATGTCTGTGGAAAAATGAAGGATTTGTTGCTTCAGGGAGTCTAACATAAGCCAAGAGAGATGCCAGTGGGACAGTAAATAGATCCCTAGCACACTAATACGAATTAAAACAGGAAAAAGGCAGAACAGAAGGTGCTAAACTTTCCAAATGGAACGGGAGACAAATGGGATGAGACGTTTCCAATCTGTGGCGATACAGTTAGGTCCATATATATTTGGACACAAGTGTAATTTTAGTTTTTTCAGGTATTTACCAAAACATATTCAAGATATAGTTATATAATGGAAATAGGCTGACCGTGCACACTCTCCGGTTTAATTTTAGGGTGTGTACATCCAAATTGGAGGAAGGGTTTAGGAATTACAGCTCTTAAGAATAGCCAATCCCCCCTTTTTCAAGGGACCAAAAGTATTGGACAACACAGATGTTGTCCTGGTAAATTTGAGAATCTGTGGGCACCATGGCTTTACATACAGGGTCTAAGTTCCAGGGAACTTATAAACATGATTGTGTTGCAGTGCCCGGGGGACAGTGGAGTTGATGTTTATGGTGTATCTTTCAATGCTTTTTGTAGCTCCTTATTTTTTTTTTAAGGTCACTTAGACAAGACTGTAAATGAAAGTAACTGCTTTGGAAATGTCTCTATTTTTTGTATGATCTTACTGCTCTGGGATGCTGTAATTTGTTCAATAAAGCTATACCTGATTTAAAAAAAAGTCTTCAGAGGGGAAACTGTTATATTGTTCCCCCAAACGGTAACCAAAACAGAAGCTCAGGAGTAACACACAACAAAATGCACATTTAATAAGTATAAAGGCAGAGTATTTTATTACAATAGTGCTTGCAGTGAAAAGAACATATAAGGTCAAAATGGCATTCAGCAGCTGATATATAGAATCATTAATATATCCAGAGCACATAAAGAAAGATGAGTGAATTACCCTGAGAAAGGCACCCAGACACAATGCAGGGAAGAGTGAGGTCTCAAAGTGCTTCTTCGGATTGTATGTATCAATTGCTGAATGTACTTTTGTCCATATATATGTTTACTGAAAGCAATATTGTAATTAAATACTGTGCCTTTATAGAGTCATTATTAAATGCTCATTTTTATATACTTTGTTAGTCCTGAGTTCCTTTTTTAGATGCCAATTGGACAGGCTGAGAATAAAGTTCTGAAGACACATGAGACACTTCAATAAGGCATGCACTTTTTATTTCTCCAAAGACACCAAAAGTGACACCAATGTGATTTTCTGAGACCTGCTAGCACAGCCAATGAAAACGGTGCCTGGAAGAAGCTTAGTTCCACTTTAAGTAGCTTTCTTTTTTAAATAGTTTTCCCTATATGTTTTCTATATTATTAGATTTTGTTGGCTAACATTAAAGCTTACCGGTAACTGTGATCAGAACCAAAAATTCACCTTTGTAACATTGTTCTTATACCTTGGCTCAGTCTTGGGTCTTTTTATCCTATTGTGCAACAGTCACTAAATAATTGGTCTGTAATGTTCTGCTTTCCAGAGCTCACTCTCCCCAATAATGGTAGCTATGCATTCTCTTGAGCAGGGTCGCCAGTTGTGTACCTGCCCCTGCGTGTTTCTTTCTGATCTGCCATTATGTAAATACGCTGCTGCTCTCAGTGTTGGGAGCACATTGACTGCTGATACTCCAATTCTGATCCACCCGTCCATGTCTATGGGACGTAATTGACAGGACATGAAAATGCTCTCCCGAACTCAGAAGTGTAAAAAAAATGCACTGTACCTGTCTACAATCCACCCACATCCATTGCTAGTGTCCCAGTGCGTCATAGGACATTTCATTGGGGCACATCACAGTTCATTGGGACATATCCACTGGCCAAAGGAGATGATGTCAGGCGCCTCAATGATCCTTCTTACAACAGTCAGATATACCTCACCTGTGAGAGTAAGGATGATCACTTCACAGTATTATAAAAGTTTGATTTTTAGTAAAACTAAGTAAGATACAGGAATTTTTTTTTTTTTTTTTATGTACGTGAAGAAACCTTTTAGGAGAAAATGTAAGAGCACCCTAAAGTTCAGCTTTAAATTTTTTCTTTTCTTTTTTTTTTTTCCTTTCATACTTTTAGATCCTACTTGTAGGGTTCCCCTGCTTATTTTGTCTGCTCTATTGTAAAAAAAAAAAACATGTATCCAGCTTCTGACACAGAGAGGTTGCAAGTCTCCTTTTTTCCCCTTTTTTCATTATTCTTATGCAATGAGAAGCATTTTTTTTTGTATTGCATTTAAATGTATCTCAATGTTTTCTTACCACATTTTATGTTTTTATATATTCTCACTTACTTGCCATTCTTGCCAAATAAATTGTATTTTCCAACTGTACATTATCATGTGTCTTATTAATTTTCTTTTAAATGTGTTAACAGATCTCGCATCAAGTTTACCCAGTCAATGGCAGGTGCCCGCCTTTTTATCAAACATTCCAGGAATAAAATGTTTCACATTCTATTTTCAAAACCAGCAACACATTCCAGACTGCTTAAATTATGGTTTTCCACCCTCCGTTCCCTTGTAGGAGAAAAGAATCTTATCTTGATGGGTCCTCCAGGGTCCGGGAAGACCTCAGTTGGTAGAATTCTTGGCCACAAGCTAGGTTGTCCTGTTATAGACGTGGATGACGATGTCCTTGAAAAAGACTGGAAAATGAGTGTGTCCAATAAATTGCAGGAAGTTGGCGATGAGCAGTTTTTAGAAGAGGAAGGAAAAGCCCTTTTAAAGTTTTCAGCATCTGGAAGTGTGATTTCCCTTACGGGCTCCAACCCTCTTCACACTAGCAGCATGGAACACACAAAGAAAAATGGCTTAGTTGTTTACCTTGATGTCAATACGCAGGATATAATTGAGAGGCTGGAAGGAATGAAAGTGGATCGTATTGTTGGGCAAAGGTCTGGAGCTTCAATTGGCGACATACTTCAAAAAAGGAACTGTTTTTATAAAAAGTGGCATGATGTGCGTGTACTCTGCCAGAAGGGAGATACTGTAGAGGCTTTGGCTGAAAAAGTAATTGATGCAGTAAAAAAATATCAGAATGTAGACTCTGATACTTTTGTTTCTACTAGATCACAAAGTTGTGAAGCTGAAATAAGCCAAGACAAAGCAAAATTCTTTAGTGACGTTGTCATTGAGGGTTTAGCTGCTGATGGTGGACTCTACATTCCCAAAAATGGTCTGCCAAAGCTTACTGCTGGTGAGTGGGGAAGATTGGTTAAGTCAACTTATGCTGAAAGGGCACAGATAATACTGGAAAGATGCATCCACCCAGCTGATGTCCCAGCTGTTGTTTTAGGAGAAATCATTGAAAAGGCATACAGTGAAAACTTTACATGTAGCAAAATTGCTCCCATCAGGCATTTGTCTGGCAATCAATTCATTCTTGAACTCTTTCATGGACCAACTGCTTCTTTCAAAGACTTGGCCTTGCAGTTTATGCCTCATGTGTTTGCTTATTGTGTCCCCAAAACATGTAACTATCTAGTCCTTGTGGCTACTTCTGGAGACACAGGTAGTGCTGTTCTGGACGGGTTTAGCCGCCTCAGTGACCTTGACAGGCGAAGGATGGCTGTCTTCTGTCTCTACCCCGAAAATGGAATAAGCCTGGTGCAAAAATCACAGATTATTGCTTGTCAAGGGGATAACGGGTTGGCACTTGGAGTAAATTCTGATTTTGATTTCTGTCAGAGTGCAATAAAAGGAATGTGCACCAATCCTGATTACTCTGGCTTTCTTACAGCTGAATACGGAACTACTCTGAGTACTGCCAATTCGATCAACTGGGCCAGGCTGCTGCCGCAGGTTGTGTACCATGCTTCTGCTTATCTTGATCTAGTCAGTCAGGGTATTATAACTTTTGGGAACCCAGTTGACGTATGTATTCCCACCGGTAACTTTGGCAACATACTAGCTGCAGTTTACGCAAAACAGTTGGGAATACCCATTCGAAAGTTCATCTGTGCCTCCAATCAAAACCACGTTTTGACAGATTTTATTAAAACCGGACATTATGACCTCAGGGGTCGAACATTACTGCCATCCCATTCACCAGCAATTGATATTCTTAAATCGTCGAACTTAGAGAGGTACTTGCATCTTATCTCTAACCAGGATGGTGAGCTTGTTAAAAAACTTTACAGTCAGTTACAAAGTCAAGGTCATTTTCAGCTGCCAGAAAATGTATTAAAAATTCTCCAGAATGACATTATTGGCAGCTGGTGCTCTGAGGCAGACTGCTTGTCCGCAATCCACTCTGTACATAGTACAAGTGGATATATCATGGACACACACACAGCAGTTGCCAAAGTTGTGGCCGACAGGGTGCAAGACCGTACTTGTCCAGTTATCATCTCATGTACAGCTCATTATTCTAAGTTTGCACCTGTTATTTTGCAAGCTTTGAGGATTGAAGAAATTAAGCAAAGCCCATTAAGCCAGCTTCATGTATTAAATTCCTTCCGTCCCTTGCCTCCTGCTCACAAGGCACTCTTAACAATGCTTAAAGACAGGGAGTCTCATAAGAGCTGTGTTTGTGAAGCTGATTCAAACCAAATAATGGACCATGTTCAAAATTACCTTCAAAAACAATTCTTGAAGGTTTACTAGCAGTTGTGGCAGCTATAATCTTTCCTGCAAAGATTTCTCCTTGAAAAGCCAGACATTCGATAGAGTAGAGAAACAAACCGCAGCCAAAAAGCTTCCACTCAAGCAGATTAGGAAAATGTTTCAGGAAAGCTATTTCAATGCTAATTTGAAAAAGGAAAGACCTTCACTCAAACGGACTAAAATTAGTTTGAGAAAATGACTAATGTAATGTGTTGGGGTCGGAAGGCATTGTGAGTTGTAGGAAAACAACTCATGTCTCTAAATACTGCCAGAGGATGACGACAAAATTGATGGTGTTTCCTTTAGGGTCTGTTATGTTGCTATGATTGCAGTCCATGGATTGTGCTGAATGCGTAATCCGGACTTAAGTGGTATGAATGGCACCACACCCTTGTATCGTTCATTTATAGAAATAGCTATTTCAGATGGGTTACTAGTGGCAAAAGCTTGTTTGTTATTTGATTGCTATATTTGAACAGCAAATGAAGTGTGATCATAACTACACTGAGGGCATTTAGACCAATGGAAATTAATATCCCTGACTTTAGGGGTAATTGGATGAATAGAAATGCCACTCAAAACTGATTTCTCTATCCTGAGAATATGGCAGCAGGGTCCAATGCTCTTTTTTGATTTTGCTGCTATTAATGACCTTACAGGAAGATCACACCTGCATGTGATAATTTTTCACCTAGGATATTATTGTCACTGCCTTTTCCATGTGGAAAAATGTGAAAAGTTGCAACATTTGGTGTCTCTTTGGTTGCTCCTGGATATTCTGACATGCTAATACAGACTTTGATAGGCAAGGTCAAGTGTTTTCTAGCTCGCCTTTTGCCTGTCTTAGTTTTTCCTATAAATTGCTTTTAGTACTGAAATAACTACTCATGGGAACTATTGAGCGTTGCTTGAATAATAATAATAATAATTTACTAAAGGAATAAGGACTGTTCTCTTTACAAAATGTATTTTTATACTGTAAAATGAATGTTCACTTCGTGAATAGGATGAAACTGTGTTCACTTCAAACAACTAATTAAAAATTATTATTATTTTTTTTTTTTTTTACTTCCCTTACACATGGTTGGGTGTTTAAGTGAAACCGCATCACCTTATTTACTAAATTATTTTATATTTTCTTTTTGTAAGTTAACTGTCTGAACTCTCTTAGTAAAGCATTGTATTTTTAATACTTCTGATATTCCAGGAGTCCCCAAACTTTCTAAACAAAGGGCCAGTTTACTGTCCCTCAGATCTTAGGGGGGCCAGAGTGTGGCCAGTGAGAGAGGGAAATGCTCCATGTCAGAGGGAGTAAACAATGCCTCAGGCTTGGTGCTCAGTGGAAGTAAAAAAAATTACATAGTGCCCCTTAATTGGTATTGTTGGTATTGGTGGGAGGACTAGTGCCCCATTGGTGGTGTCAGTGGAAGAAATAGTGCCCCATCATTGGTGTCAGTAGGAGGACTAGTACCCCATTGTATAAGTAGGAAAAATAGTGCCCCATTGTTGGTGTCAGTTGGAATAATGGTGCCCCATTGTTGGTTTCAGTAGGAGGAATAGTGCTCCACTGTTGGTGTCAGTGGGAATGAAAAGTGCCTTGCTTCAGTGGGAAGGAAAAGTGCCCCAAGTGCTGGATAAAAGTAAGCAAAGGGCTGTAGTTTTAAGCTATTTTGGGGCCAACATGAAACACTGCTGTATATCAATTGCTGAGTGACAAAGTGAACGTCAATATTTTAAATTGTATCCTTTTATTTGCTCTAGTTTTTCAACCTGCAAACCTGTTTAGGGGTCTTAAGATGCCCACTTCTTCAGGGTCTGGAAGACTGCCCAGAATTGTTGTAAAAGGAGCAGATAACATATATCAGCATGAGAAGTAAAAAAAAAAAAAGCTGACTGGGACACCTACCTAACCATGCGCATGAACGTTAATGGCATCCCAGTCTTAGTCTGTAGGGTTCAATAATGAGTTGGCCCACCCTTTACAGGTATAACAGCTTCAACGTTTCTGGAAAGGCTGTCCACAAAGTTTAGAAGTGTGTCTATGGGAAGGTTTGACCATTCTTCCAGAAGCGCATTTGTGAGGTCAGGCACTGATGTCAGACAGGAAGGCCTGGATCACAGTTTACACTCGAATTCATCCTAAAGGTGTTCTATTGGGTTGATGTCAGGACTTTGTGCAGGCCAGTTAAGTTCCAACACCCCAAACTTGCTTATTCATGTCCTTATGGACCTTGCTTTGTGCACTTGAGTGCAGTCATGTTGGAACAGGAAGGAGCCATCCCCAAACTGTCCCCACAAAGTTAGGAGCATGAAATTATCCAAAATGTCTTGGTATGCTGATGCCTTAAGAGTTCACTGGAACTCAACCCTTGAAAAACAACCCCACGCCATAATCCCCCCCTCCACAAAACTTTACACTTGGCACAATGCAGTCAGGCAAGTACCGTTCTCCTGGCAACTGCCAAACCCAGACACGTTCATCAGATTGCCAGACAGAGAAGAGTGATTCGTCACTCCAGAGAACACGTCTCCACTGCTCTAGAGTCCAGTGGTGGCGTGCTTTACACCCTTGCATCCAACGCTTTGCTTTGTACTTGGTGATGTAAGGCTTCGATGCAGCTGCTCGGCCATGGCAACCCATTACATGAAGCTCTCTATGCACTGTTGTTGTGCTAATCTGAAGGCCACACAACGTTTTGAGGTCTTTAGCTGTTGACTCTGCAGACAGTTGGTGACCTCTGTGCGCTTCAGCATGCGCTGACCCAGCGCTGTCATTTTATGTGGCCTACCACTTCGTGCCTGAGTTGCTGCTGTTCCAAGTTGCTTCCACTAACATTTGACCATGGAATATTTAGTAGCAAGATCAGATCAGCAGGCACTGGGACTGTGATGATGTCATCACTCACTGACACATTGCATATGTGATGGACGGCCAGCTGGCCGGGTCACACTCACACAGACACGAGACATCAGAATAAGACATTACCTTCTTCCGCAGGTGCAGCGCCGCCTCCTCTGAATGGGAAGTGAAGGGCTGGAACGCCACAGTGATCAGCAGTCGGCAGCTGGCTTGCAGTAAGGGTCAGAGTCTGAGAGTAACACTGGTAGAAGTGGCAGTTCAGCTGCTACACTGGCCCCCAGACACCTGGCATGTTTCTTTCCTTTCCTCCTCTCCTTTGCCGCCAATCCCCTCAGCTGGAGGTTCATTCATGACGTGGCTGCATCCCACACAGATGTGGCATTGCACCCTCGGTGGCCGCCTAGTGGAAGCGCTGGCCCTGCCAGTGGGTTATCCCATTATATATTGTTTCCTACAACCTATAGTACAATCTCTCCAGTCTTCTGAAAAGAATTGGTTAAAACTTTTGGATACTCTTAGAAACTAACAATGGAAGCCCTCCTATAGTTGACTGCCGCTCGATGTCAGCTCCCTGTACACCTCTATTCCCCATGAGGTGGACATTACTGCATTAGGCCACTTTCTAGGCCATGAGTCCCACTTACACCCAGCCCAGGCCTAATTAATGTTGGAGGGCACCTGCTTCTGCCTGGAGCATAATTATTTTACAGTCCAAGGAGATAATTACCTCTATGGGGCACAGCTATGGGAGTATTCTTTGCACTCTGCTATGCCAATCTCACCATGGGATGGAAATCCCATATCTGGAAGAATAACAGCTTCCCTGCGCACATCATCTTTTACTGCAGGTATATACCGTAGCTGACATCATTGCCATATGAGTTGGCCACTCATCCACCACAGATGTGTTCTAGCAGCACTGAAATGACAACAACTTAGGGCTTTCATTCACAAGTGTGGAATTCCACACATTTTTGGCCATAGGAATGGCCAAATTATCTTTAGGACCCACCTCTGGGATTTCATATTTGCACTACCGGAGTTATCGTCATTCTATATGGATTGCCAACATCCCCAAGGTGCAGTTCTGTAGGCTGTACAAAAACTGTACCCTGGATGATGATTATTCTGCACAATGTCAAATCTTGATAGATAGGTTCTTTGAAAAAGGTTATGATACCACTCTCATTCAACAAGCCTGTCAGAAATGTCCCTCCATCTCCACCATGTGTTCTGAGCCCATAGTTCTGAAATTAAATGTATCATCCAATTACACTTAAAATACAGACAAATGGAGAGGATTATTTCATGACATTAGGAGGTCCTCTTTAGGGACCCCAATTAAGAGCCACTCCTTCTGTTGAGGCCCAGATTTGTCTACAAGAGGGCCTACAATATTAAACATTACTCCCAGTAAACTACCGGTTTCAACCAAAACAGTGTCCCATTCCCTAGCCATTTTTTGTAACGTCACTGTAATGTTCCAGTGAAAAAAACTCAAGTGTAAAATGTGCAGATTTGTAGAACACCGACAGAAGAACATCAGGGATAGTAATGGTAAAACGTATCCCATTAATTAATTTTTCACTTGTGCCAATGAATACTTAATTTTTTGCCTTACCTGCACTGTCAGGGCTCGCTTTGGGGAGTTCAGGAGGACAATACTGACCATAGTGTTCCCAGGCACTTTAAGGTGAAGCATGGCTGCTCCATAGAGGGCCTCCATGTGTGGGTCAAAGAACACGTTCCCCTTGACTCTGTGGTGGAAAGATTTGCAAAACTCTGCTGCAGAGAAACTTTCTGTATTTTTAATCTCAGCTCCTTGGCCCCCAGGGGATCAACGAGGAGCTTGAGATTCACATTCTTTTATGCTTAATTTTATCTCTCTATCATATTTACACTAACTTCCCTAGTTTTTTTGCAATCCCCCACGGGACTTTGTAATAGTATGCAGGGTGCTTTTTAACCACTTTTTTTTTTTTTATAATCTTCATTTTTAATTACAAATTGCCATTTTAGAATGTACATATGCATCTGCAGGCATGTCTATTCACATGTGGTGTTAGACATTTGTTCCTAGTAGTGCAAAAATGATACACATACAGTTGTTCTTCATATGGTACTGATCCAATCTATAGTA